ATTGTTTTGTGTATCCGATAATGTAAATGGGCAATTTCGAAACATAAAAATGCCAAATAAACGGCGATATTCGAATCGATTCTTGGTGAAAGTATGGCCCACCATGATCGATCACGGTTGGCAAAGAGAAAGGAAGCAATTACGATGAAGAGGGAGCGCATCTGGGAAGCATATGCGCCACACGAATCAGTTACTTGGCTGCCAAGGAAGCGTGTGGCGCTTTCACGACGAAAGGTGCGCTGGTTGCTGAGCAGGACTTCGAAAGCACTCCGCCCCCAAAAGCGATCCGCCCACTAGTTTAGTTGGTGATTTGGACGAGCTGTGTTGCCAGCAGCGGCACAACTGGAGCAACTCGATTGGAGCATGGATTTGGCATGGTGCCACCAAACGCGTTGCGGTAAACTCGTCCATACGTCCGCCGTCCTACTGCCCGTCCTTGAGCGAAGATCAACGGCCAAACAAGGGGATCCCCTTTTAGCGTGTCTTGACGATTCTTGCTTTTTTGCCACTGGCGTTCTATAGCTCCCCCACGTCCTTAGTAAACCCCCTTGGAACCTATCACAATCACTGCTTCTGAGAAAACCTATGTAGCGAATAGCGAAAAAAGCTAATATTACATCCAAAACTTCTTCCCAGCCTACAATAATATTCATATGGTTTATTATGAAAACTCACAGTTGTTAGTTGACGTAATGTCAACATATAATGCTATTTTCAGAGCAACTCGAGGTGTAGGAGTGCCACGACCATCGGCTACAAGGAGCACATACTGCTGCAGTAATTAGTAAGACTTTCTTTTCATCTTGCATATTTTTTGATTTATACAGTGTCTCAACTTGAATACTCTTGAGCTTGAAAGTGCTCACATTGATCAGATAATCAGATAAATAGACTATTTCAATAGACATCAAGTCCATCACTCATCGGTATTCCTTCAGTGTACCATTCTATAGCACGTCAATGGTAATGATCTCGGTCGAAATGGTTATGCATGGGTGTCCCCCAAGAGGCCCGTCGCGCGGCGAAGGAAGAGACGCAGATGCGGCAAAGGACGAGTCGCAGCGCGTGCTGTGCGATATGAGACGTAGTATGGTACACTCTATTTAACCTGACGCCTAACCGCTACAGTATGCGCTGCGACTCGTCCTTTGCCGCGTCTGCGTCTCTTCCTTCGCCGCGCGACGGGCCTCTTGGGGACACCCGTTATGCATATCGCGCGCTTTCTTGACCACCCCTTTTTCAGCTTTGATCCTTCATGTGTCGCAACCTCTTCAAAACTTTTCTATCGGCGGACTGCCTCGGCGCAAGGCTACATGATCCTCGCCGCATCCGCAGCCAGTCCGCTAAAAGCGGTATTCTCCGGGACTTTTCCGACATCTCTGCAACCCGCTGTATAAGGGTGGGGGGTGCTCTTTGCTTAGTCTTCCGATGTACTGAGATCGTGATTATTAGGAACACACCCGAAAGGGCTGTTTTCATCAAAATGTGTTGTGCCCGCATATGTACATCGTTGAAGTAACGGAACGGGAACAAGAGTATTCAAGTGGTCAGACTTTCTTATCATAATACCACGACCAGTGTTTCTCTTCAGCCAAGCTCCAGGCGAGCAGTCAAGCAAAACGAGCCTTTTGGCTCACAATCGCCAATCTGCGCCGTCTAGTAGTGACACAAACCTCACGAAGGAGAACGCCAAGTATGGGAACATTCTTAGCGCAAAAACTCCGCACTTACATCTTCCGTACCTAAACACTTGAGTATTTATTTAGGCCATCTACGGGCTATCGATGGAGCACCAATTCTATCGCTTTGAGACAACCGTCAAATTGTGACGGATTCGCTATCGATGATGACACCGTGGATGCTGAGGTTGGGCAAAAGTCGTCTGCCAACAGCAATAGATTGCCAAGTGGGGGCAGTCTTCATGTGCGATTCTATTCAAGCAAGCCGCAACCCACACAGAGTGTCATAATACCCTCGAAAGAAGAGAACAGTGATAGTATTACTCTATTGTGAAACCATCTACTACTCGTTCATAAACGACTAGAGAGTCTGTAAAGGTACGTGCGATAGTAGCACCATGTTGTTGAACAGACTAGGAAAGATATAATTTTTGCAGCACTCCCTTGTTGCATCGCCAGCTTCCAGCAGATCTATTCGTTCCTTCATGGACTTCGTGGCATGTCAGCTTATCAAACGATCACCTCAGTACGGGTTCTTCACAAGTAGTAGTGAAGAAATCTCATGTTTTCCGTTGTTCGGAAGGGCCGCTTCCGTTGTTATTGTCATGTGTCCACTTTTGCTTTACATTACTGGTTCTTCAGCATTTCTTTGGAGATATTTTTTAGAAATGACAGGGATGATATTTGCGAAAATCGAGTAAGTAGTCGCATCCTTTGTGGGAAGCACTTTCATATTTTAGATGGAGTTCAAGCTAATATTTCTCTCAGTCGCTAGAACTCTCAAAACTTGTCCTAGGTGTTGTTAACAAAACCTTAGAGGAACAAGTAAACTGTAAGCATACAATAGCCTCTGATTCCAGGTAAACTGCCTCTTTCCTTTGATATGTTTTTATCTGTACGAGATCACTTTGCCACTCTTCGGTCGATGGATGCCATAAATTTTTTTAACCTTTTCATACCTGGAATTTTTTCTTGAGAAAAAATTATTGCTATTGGTTATTACTTATAAACGGGAAATCGCCAAAGCTTTCTTAAATTTATGTCGACGAGATTTCGAATTTCTCAGTCATGTCGAAAAAGTTTATAGTCTTACGTAGCAGTATACTTCATAGTTTTTAAATCAACATGAATATATTGCAAATAATTTGGAAATACTTGGCATTCACCTAGCAGGTTGTGAAGGCCGGCGCGTTACATTGTGGCACTTATCCACAAATATTTGTAATGCTACCAGCAATACACAATAAAATGGCGCGTGCAAAGCAAAATTTGAAAGTAAAATCATCTAAATCAAGCTCAAATAGGAGCTGTCGAAACATGCCGGTAATGCAGACTTCTGAATTTGATGGCGGCAACTGCCACCGCAGGGTCGAAAGGGTTGACCCTTCAAGCGCTGATTTTTTTTTCGTGCGCAAAATTTTTTCCTAGCTATTGTTTATTACTTGTGAGCATATAGTATCATTATAGCGAAATTTGGAAGCTATTCGATCACAAACAAAGAAACTAGGAAGCTTTGAAAATTGGCCCACCTTCTTAGTTTTTAAGCTTATGTCGAAACAATTCCAAATTTCATAGTTATGCCGAAAAAGTTTATAATCTTGCACAACATTATAACCCACATTTTGGCAAGGAAATGGAATCTATTCCTAAAATTTTAGGAAAGAGTGACACTCTCTTGGCAGATGGCTGACAAGGGAGGTTTTTCAGGGCAAGCCGCGCTTTTTCCAAAACGGTTTTTGCATGCTGTAGGGGCTCTGCGTGGACTACAAATCTGTGTTTCATTTTCGCTGAACGGTTCCCTGATGGCCAAAAAAGGTCGAAAAAATTTGTGAGAATGGGCGGTTTTTACAGCTTTCAGAGGACGT